AGCGGATGTTCCCCCAGAGCTGGGTGTAATTTGTTTACACCCGATGATACATTGGTCACAGCCCAGGAGCAAACTTTGAAAGTTCGGCACGAGGCGGCACGTCTGGCCACCAGGGGAGTCTCTCTGGTAATCGGGCGCATTGAGGTGCTGGGCTTACGGGTTGCCCTGGATTAGACAGAGTCCCTCTTATTTCATGGGCCCCGTCGTGGTCCTCCCCCTGGCACCTCAATCATTGTCAATTCAGTCTTCGTACCAGTTCAGGCCGTGATAAAGTTTCTGGGCTTGATCCTCGACGGGAGGTGGCTCTTCGACGAGCTTTTCCGCCAGCTTGCTCCAAAGCTGGTCGGCGCTGCGTCTGTCCTTGGACGACTTTTGCCTAATCTGGTTGTTCAATGGCACTGTATGGTGCACCAGTGTGGGCGGTGGCCCTGACCGCCCAGAATTGGCATCCTAAGAGGATATTGACGATTAGAGCCAAACGCGGTTACCACACAGTGTCGACGGAGGTGGCATGCGTGTTGGCCGGAACTCCCCCGTGGGATTTGGAGGCGGAAGGGCTTGCTAAAGTACATCGGCGGACGACTGTTAGCGGCATTCGGCCCCATCCGAAGATGTACGTGAATGGCATGAGGTTGTCAAGCTACTACAGTTCATTGGTCGTCCCGGCTGTAGGATCCACGTGCTGTTCGTGGAGGTGCTGTAACCGGTAATCGTTTAGTGGGCAGGGCGGCAGCACAGGGCCCTTTCCTTCCGACTAACGTAGGTCCTTTCCAGGCACGGCTGCTTCGGAAAGTCCCTGCCCTCGGTCCTGCAACTCAAAAGTCACAAGTGCGTTGCTGCCCTTGCGTGTGCCGGACGTTTTCGATTTTTCTAAATATTCAATCAAATTTCTTGAAACAAACTAATTAATTGCGTGAAAAATAAAATATTGTTAAATAAAATTGTTTTTTGTCCATAAAATTTTAGAGTTTGGAGGAGTATGAAGAAATTTTTAAGCTCTAATAACTTCGTTTAGCCTTTTACCATCTTGCTATCTCCCATTGTTTTTTTTTAATGTAAGTTTTCAGTAGATGTAAAGAGGAGGAAGTGCAATTTGCAAAAACAGTACATAAAGTTACAGGAGTTATAATTGTATAACTAGAAGTGAATAATGTTGTGAATAATGCTTGAAATTCGACCACCTTTGATCAAATTTTGATATTACAACTACTTGATTGGCAGATTCCTTATTGTATACACCAAAATTCAAAGCCGAATACGCAATTTGAAAAATCTTTATACGAAAAGGACAAGGGTCGGTCATATTGATCAACGGATACTCTCCAAATAACCTAATAGAAATTCATAGAATAGCTAATTTATATTTCTAAAGCAACAATTTTATTATCTCCTACCTCACTGCCATCATCATTTTCATTTCATTTCGGCCAATGGACGTCCGCAATTATAAACAGGTTCTATCAAATTTACGACATGAATCTTTATGCACTGTTGTTAAACTCCCCAATCCATACAAACAAGTAATACTATTTTCCTACTATTACTCCCATCTTACAAAATTAAATGTCCCTTTCATATTGAACTCTCAATTTGTTAGTCTAATTTCTATAGTGCCTGTTTGATGGCAATAATCTCGACTATTATCTGAGTGGGTTTAAAATTATATTTTACACCCACTCTCTGAAACAAATATTTGCAGATCATACAAATATATGGTCCGAACTGTGAATCGATCCCTCAGCACAGCAGTTGCACACGCTACCACTGCACCACCGAGGCAGTTATCAGTCAATATTATACATCTCTGCTTAACATTTTGAGGATAAAGGCGTGTATGCAAATTATCCTTTCTAGTAGTATTTATCTAATTTTACTGTTATTGTTTTCTTGTTAAACACAAATCTGATTTGTTTGCATTTCTATTATTATCATAAACAAGAAAGTAAATTCCAGGACTGTTCTACTGCAATAGCAAGTAGTACTCGTAAATAAAAACAAATATTGATAGTACCTACGCTACCAACATTTACAAACAAAGCTTTGCATATTTGTGTATGGCAAATAGCTCCTTACGTTACCGACCTACACTATCTCAGTACGTTATGCTGTGTCGATGTGATGACAAACGTCGATGTAATTATATTAAGTGTTCTCATAACCGATAAAATTGCATCCTTTATTAATAAATTAACTAGATAAGATGTTATTAAGTTATCCTCAAACAGTAATGTTCCAGGTTGACGTTTGAGGTTCAACTATTGAAAATATAATTATTTACGTAAATTTATATACAATAAAATTGTACCGAACGTATGACAACTTAACCGTAGCTAAACGAAACGTAGAGTCAGGATGGCCGAGCGGTCTAAGGCAACTTGTCCGTGCAAAACGGATGATATGGGCGTTCTGGTCCTCTCTGAGGGCGTGGGTTCGAATCCCACTTCTGACAGATTTTCCCCGCCAGCAATCATTGCTGCCATGCTGGCAGGTGAGGAGGGCTGAGGCGCAGTGATCTCTTTCTGTGAAGCTGTAATGCTCCAGAAAGAGACCGCTGAACGGGATCAGGAGAGGGCCGATCCCGAACGTAGAGGACGTCGGCGTCGAAATCAGCCGTCGACGGGGCCGCGGGCCGCCAGAGAGTGGGGACCTCTGGTGGCAGATTGTTTGCTGCGGTAGGGAATGGAATGGCCGGCCTGATTGCATTATGCGATCCGGCCGCCATGCCGCGATTGAAGGGGGAAGTGTTCTTCCCTGGGATAGGGCCTGATTAGGCATGGTGTCAATTCGGGGAATACCTGAAATAACATGGTCCGTGTCCTCCCCAGAGTAGGACACCTAAGGCCGGCCGTCGGGGTGGTTTTTAGTGGAATCACCACATACTCCAGGCTCCTGAGTCCCCGAGGAGCAGGAGATCCGAAGGGATTTTATACCCCGTCAACAAAAAAAAAAAAAAGGTAAAACGAAACGTTCAATGGCGAGAATGGTATATAATATGTGGTAGGGATTGATTGATAAATATTGCAAAAATAATTGATTTCAATAAAATAATACTTTTTTAAATACATCAGATATTAGACCTGTCTTCTACTGTAGATTTGAATATTGGCCAAAAACTTTAAAACTAGCGCCATTGGATAAAGGAGTTAAAAAACAGTAGATTAATAGAACAAGTAAGAAATAAATACGTTTATTTTGGCAATAACACTATACTTTTAAAGCACTGCATAAAAAGTACAAAAGTATAAAAACACACACACTGTATAAAAAGAAATGACAAAGATAAGCTTGATTTTAGACCCATAGCCTTAATTCCCGTGTTTTCCAAAAATAGTTAAAAAAATTATTTATGATTTTATAAATAAACATCGTATTCTTTTCGATGAACAGATGGAATTAAGGAAAGGAAGGGGCATAAATATAGCTATATACGAACTTCTAAATATAATAGCCAAGAACCTAGATAAAAGAATACCCAAATGTGCTATTTACACAGACATGACAAGGGCCTTTGATAACGTTGATCATGAAATTTTTCTTCATAAGCTCTACATCTATGGCATCAGAGGAAATTTATTGAATCTCTTGAAATGTTACCTCAGTAATCGACAACAGTATACTGAAATTAGCAAAATCTGTGTCGAATTAAAACGAGAGGAAAAATATTTGTCTGAAGCTAGAACTGTCAAATATGGCGTACCACAGGGCAATGTTTTAGGCCCACTTTTATTTCTGCTCTACATATTTGAGTGACATCAATAGGTCCATCATCCAATGGTTTTATTCGCAGACAACAATATCGTAGTAATAAAATGTATAGACATCAATGAATATAAAAATGACATTAATCACACTTTAAAAAAACATAATAAACTGGCTTGACATAAATAATCTAATAATTAATCTTACAAAAACTAATATAATGCATTTTTATCAACGTACACCAGTACAAAATCTAATAGACAAGATGTTGAACAAGTAAATGTTGCTAATTTTTTAGGTATATTGATAGACAGTCAGTTAAAATTCAAATCTCAAGCAGAGGAGGTGTGTAAAAAATTAAGCACATCTGCATATGTGCTATAAAAATTAGCAATAAAAGTGAATATAACAACAACATTAACAGCTTACCATGGTCTAGTGGCGTCGATTCTACGGTTTGGGATTGTATTTTGGGGAAATTGCACCTTAAGGGAACAGGTTTTTAAATCACAGAAACGCTGCATACGGGTAATGTGCGGTCTAAAAATGACTGAAAGTTGTGTGCCAATGTTTAAATCCCTGAAGTTGTTGATATTTCCGTGTAAATATATTTTTGAAGTTGCAGTGTTCGTAAGGGTCAATTAAAATTATTTTATATCTATATCAGAAACAAAGAAAGGACCGATAAGAAGTCAGTATGAAAATATGTTGCAAGTCAGTGGTTATAATAGTGCGTTACTTTTGAAATCCTCTTTTATGTAGACTCTAAAGTCATAGATCAAAACACACAAAAGCTACAATCTCTGTTTTGTGTTTGTGTGCTATTTTGCACTTTGCTGATCATTTACCAATTTCGTTTCCCAGGTGATCTTTGTTCTCTGTTCTTTGACTTTGTTCTTTCGTTTCTTCTATTATTCTTTTTCACGAATTGATTAATAGGAAACTTACACACACAGCTACTGTGCAAACAAAAAATGTCCTTTAACGTCCTACAAAGTGTTCAAGAAGACAAAAAGAAGCAATTTTTAGAAATATTCTAGTCAACCATTTCATAATAACAACAGTGTTTTTACTCTGCAATAGAGATGCAATGGATGAACTGTTACTTGCATTACCGTTACCCTACCTGCTTATTGCTACTGCTAGTTAAAAAAATAGGATATTAACAGTTTCAGTAGGAAGTGGGTTAAAAAAGAGTTGAAACAAAGATTTAAAGACTTTATTAAGCTATTTACAACTATTTACAAACATTTCCCGATATTTCGTAGAAAAAAAGAAAAGACATTCTTTTTGACAATCTTTTACTTTCCTCGTAACTTCAATTCTATCTGCTCCACGCTCTTCCCTCTTGTCTCCGGAAGAATCACTACCACAACAATGAGGCCAAACAGATTATTCGCACTGAATATATAAAAAGACGTGTAAACTCCCATGGCGCTGCTAATTGCGGTAAAGGAGACCAATTGTACAAAACTTAAATGCCATGCTAGTATGCATATGCATGCCATAACCATTGCACGAATCTAAAACGTATAATAATATAAAATGTTAAATACACGCAAGAATAATACGTACTAATTGATGTTTATTTTACTTACTTGGAAACTAAACATCTCAGTTATTAAAACATATGGAACAGTTGAGACACCAGTTCCATAACAGCACACTATTACCAAAATTACCGCAATGGGTAGCCAATCCGGCGTCGCCCAGCCATATTTATGAAGTATCATTGAAGATGCAAGGCTAGCAAAAGCTGCGGATGACATGCCCAATGTGACGCCTAGCAGCACCTGTTGTGTAATAGACGTTGATATAGTTAAAATTATTCTTCATTGAAATTTACATGGTAATTGTTATCGTGATGCATTCAAGGAATTTAAAAACAAATGCAAAAATCACATCATCACATTAACAACCCATAACAGTCCACTGCTGGACATAGGCCTCTTCTAAGAAAGGAGGTTTTGGCCTACTGTACCATGCTGGCCAGACGGGTTGATATAGGGTTTGTTTCAAGTTTTCCTTCTCTTTGCAGTGCTGTTGTTCTGCGTAGTTTACTCCCTTAGTCGGCTCTTACGACACCCACGGGATGAATAAGGATGGTGACATTCCATATTCTTAATCCATCCACACACGGATTTATCCAATGCAAAAATATATTTATGCAAATCCTATTAAAATTAATATTATCAATTTCTGATTCGTGTACAAAGATCCTATATCCATGTCTATTCAATTATACTCGTAAAACCTTAGTTTAATGAGTTGACCTTTGATTTAAATATTTGTAGTTTATTACCTTCCTCCCGAACTTGTCTACAGCATACATCGTAATGGAAGTGCCAAGAATCAGGCACGTTGGTATACTAAGAGCTTGAGCCTCGGGACTGATCTTCATTTCCGAATCCGCCAATAGGATTACAGCAAAATTGATTATAGAGAATGTGCCGTTCAATGCAAGTACGGAAAAAATTATCACCATGATGATGAAGCCACGGCGCATTGCTTTGTCCTTAACTACAAAGAAACTGATGATGATATTTTTTTCACTGTTTAATACTCAAACATAATTTTCAATAAAAAGCGTAAATAAAAATAGCATTGGGTATATCTTCTTTAGTGATACTGTGTTGCAATACTTACACATGGTCAGAAATGTAATTTTGGGCATGGATTCGAAATGTTCACGTTCTTTTTTGATCAAATTTAATTCACACTCTACTTCCTTGTCATTTACTTCCACGCCCCTAAGGAAAGCAATAGTTTTAGCAGCTTCCTGAATACGAAGAAAGAAATTATGTAGAAAGAAAGATATTATGTACAGAAATTTAAAAGATAACAACAGATACTTTATATGATCTGTCTTAAGCTTTTGACAATTTTTATCATGAAACGATGAGTTTTAATTGAAATATATATTTAAAAATTATTTAAAATGTAATAATTTATTTATTCATAAAATATACACAAATATACAAATAAACTGCGGTTGCTATAATCGTTGAAACATCTAATAAATAGAGGTTTTTACAATAAAAATAAATATTAGGCTAACGATTGTAAAAGAATAAAAAAGTTTTATTGAAATGGCCTCTGAACATGGTTACTCTGTGTGCGTCGATATATGGCAGTATTCTGTTTCTGAGTGATGAAATTATGAAGATGTTAAAAAGAGAGTAGGATGATGATGATGATGATTTATGAGAAATCACTTGGTGTGAAATGAGCAGGCAATTCATAATGGCTGCCTGGCTGGCTGCCCCCTTAGTGTAAAATTTGTATATTGCAGTAAGTTAAATTAAAAAAAAATGAAAATATATAAATGTCCAATCACAAAAATATTAAATATACATACCTCTAGTTTTCCTTGTTTCACCGAGAACGAAGGTGACTCAGGTACAACGTACACAATCAATATAGTCAAAACTGGTAGGACAGTGACAAGGTATAGAACTGAGTAGTAGTCTAAATAACCTCCCAGAGCATACATCGCTAGTATGCCAATGTTTTGTAACATTGTAACCAATGTGCCCAAAGTACCTCTTATATTGTCTTGACTAATTTCTTTAACATACATTGGGATTACATGAAAGGTCGCTCCTCCACCGAAGCCACAAAATACTCTCGCTACCATAAGGCTGTAATAATTTCTTGAGCAGATTGTTATGATCCAGCACACCTAAAATGAAATCAATCAATTAGAACTGGAGTACTTTATGGTGTCTACCTAAATACATCATCATCAGCCTATCGCAGTCCACTGCTGGACATAGGCCTCTCCCATTGCACGCCACTTAGATCGATTTTGGGCTTCTTTTCTTGTCTTTACCTAAATACATGGACCTGGATTACTTTCAGAGTTCTAATGTATTATATGTTTTGAGTAACAGGGTTCCTGATAGTATTAAGAATACGACCAGTTTCTCTGTTAATATCCTATTTCATGTGGATGGGGCAGAGGACATTTATGGAAAATTCTTATCTCGTCTATTTTCATCCAAAACAATGAGGAAGGGGAAGTTAAAAAGTGAAGTATTACCAAGACCAGCTAATTACCGATTAAACTTTCGGTCACAATACGATTTAATAATGTTACAGTCAACGTTGGATGTTTAATACTTTACAACGAAATTACCTTTTTTGATATTTGTGAGAGCAGATCGACACTAAATTTTGACCTTATTATTATTACGATAATTTTAACCTTTATATTGCAAGTCCATAATACACGATGAATCGCTGAAAATGGTGCGAATCTAGTATAGCGTCTGATACCGACACATTAGGACGTCTACTCTTCATGACAGCTAAAATGCCTCAGTTAATAGTATTTTTGTTAATATAGTCAATAAGTTATTCCAATATTATGGACCATGTTATATTTAACCTAACACTTACTAATTGAGCAACTGTTGTAAAGAGAATTCCTTTTTTCCTTCCATATGCATCCACGATGTACAATGAAGCAAGAATTCCAAACGTGGCGGTTAAAGCTGGTATTGCAGCTATTAAGGATAATTCAGAATCAGTCAAAGGTCTACCTATAGGAGAGTTTTCAGATTGCAGTATCTTTGATACAGGTGACATCCAACCGCATTGTAAACCGAACGTCATCGCAGCGGTATTAACTATAACAAAAACATCAGAAAAAACTATAAACATTAATGTATAGGCAAGTTTCTTATCAAAAGGAATAAAATAGAATAAATTTTGCGTCTCGTTTAATCTTAGTGAATGATTAAATGTGAGCCTGGCAAATTTTTTGTTGTAACACAAAACAAAAACACACAAAAACTACACAAAAACTCAAGTCAACTTATAAAGTTATAAAGTATAAATAATTACAAATTACCACTCTGCATTACCAGTTGCAGATGAACTCCTTGAAAATTCCGAAATCCCTAATAACGGACACCGACACACCATAAAAAAATATGAGAATAAGAACTAGGTCGGACAGACCAAAACCTCTTTGAGAACTAGCTTTTAAATGGTCAATAGATGCCTTGGCTCTTGTCAATGATAAATATATTATGTCTCTAAGTTTACCCTTAACAAAAAAATGTTAAGTCTTTTACCTGAAACAGCTACAGCCCACTGCACACGCGTATGCCCTTTGGATTTTAGGTTATTACTTTCTGTTTGCATCTTTTTTTATAAATATTTATCACTTTGCTTTTTCTTCTCTTAATAAAGCACCGACACTACAAAGAAATTAAGGAACTACTCCCAATCGTGTCTTTGTAAAGAGCAATAAAATATGCAAAAAGATTTGCGTCCTATGCTTTGAACAACCATTTGTCGAATACTGTTAGTAATTTGTTTATTGTTAACCTTTACTTTCGTTATTACGTTAAAGTCACCTCATTTCCGCACACATCACAATGACATTAAATCTTAAATATACCATTTTATTTATAAACTTCTACATGTTTATTTATCTTGATCAAAGATAGGCACGTATTTGTTTTACAATTTCTTTTGTGTAAAGATTTAAAGAGGTAATGTAGCAGTAGTATATGAGATAGTAGATTGATATGTATAGAGGAAGATAAAAAAATGTAGAAAAGATAGAGGGGTGTTGAAAATGGTGTCCTTTATGTCCAATCTTGTTTATTTGTATTTTATAATAAAAATAGTATTTTGTGTAACCTTTCAAAGGTTTTTGATTGTGTCCAGCATCCGACCCTTATCACGAAACTACACTATTATGGGCTACGTGGTGTCGCTCTGGAATTTATCACTTCCTACTTGAGTGATAGGAATCAGAGAGTGGTAATAAACGGTAAAAAAACCTGGTGCAGTTGTTATAATGGGAGAACCACTGTATTCGCTATTAGAACCATTTTTATTTCTCGTATATATCAATGATCTCCCTCATCTTGTAAAAAACAATCATGAAATGGTTCTGTTTAAAGATGATTCATCTTTAATATTTAAAGTTAATGTGGACAAAAAATCGTGACGATGTAAATAGTGCTCACTCTAGGATTCAACACTAATAATTTATCACATTAACATTATAAAGGGAAAAGTTTGTAAGTGTGTGTATTTTATGTTTGTTACTTCTTAATGCCCATACGGATGGATCAAGCTAGTTATTGAATAAAACTAAATGCTTTACCTTGCCTGGTGTCAAATTGTCAAATGTCAAACCAGTGTAAAGGTCAATGAAGAAACATAATTAGTCAATTTAGGCTGTATTTCCGAGCATGACCTTAGATACTGAATTTAAATGGGATCCTTATAAAAGGCTCAGTTTTGCGACCTATGAAAATTCAATCTACAGTGACATGAATTGCTTATTCTCCTTAATAAATGATGTGTAACACAACATTGAATAATTTTGCAAAAAGCCTAATTGTGGTTCTTGAGGCTTCTTCGAGGTTGCGGGTTATCACGCATCATCAGATTGGCCGTGAGTGGGTATTTTTATGAGATTATTGTGGCCATATTTCTATACCATGTAATTTCATAATTGCGCTGTGATTTGCGTCCCAACCCACTCGCTACACATTAATTTACAGCAGCGCGCAAATCGATGGTCGCATCGAATAAACGTGCAAGTGAAAAACGTCAACTTTCCAACAGAAAATAAAAACGTTTAATCTTTAATGTAGCGAGTTCCTTTGTCAACAGGTCTGCACAATGCATAATGAAATTGAAGGTAAAAATAAATCAAAGGTTAAATCTTCTTGTATTTTCAAAAAAATCGTGAAAACCTATGTAATATTATTAGTCGAGTGAAAATAGAGTGGTCAGTCAACTGTTATAGATCATTAAACTTTTATTCGTGTACATAAATACGACTTTAAATAACAAAATGTAATGAAAGATTATTATTCTAGGCAAATTAAGCTTCTTTTGATCCGGCAATGGTTTGTACGCTTGTATTAAAACACGTTCAGCGATTTGATAAAGGTAATGATGATTGCATTTGTATTAGTGTCAATAGTTGACTTTCCCATTGTGTAATGCATATTTACTAATGCATTGTCATATTAAACAGTTTGCTTTTGTTTCTTTCGGTTTGATTAAATTAAATCATATTTTTACAAAAATGAAATTTAAAACAATAATAATAACAAAGGAACTATCCACTAACATTGAGTATTTCACAAAATAATGTTATTTTTTCATTAATTTTTATAAAAAAGCTAGCTGTGCCTGCTACTTCGTAGGCATGAAATTTAACTTTACGTATTATTCAGGACTAATTGTATTCGTGTCGTGATTAAATTATGATGTCACAAATTAAACTATTCTGAATCTGATATTATCCCAACCACAAAAAAATATAATTAATACTCATTAGCTGTTGTTCATTACTCTGTACTTAAGTTTTGAAACTTACTAGTACTGTAGTAAAGATTCCATTAAATGTTAGATTTAAGCCTGCAACTTAAAACTAGGCATGAATGACCCTTTTACAATTAGCTTTGCATCAATACATGAAATTTGAAAAACAGCGTTAAATCATCGAATATTATCCACAAATGTTTTAAAATGTGGGTGTTGCCGCTTAGTAATGGCTTTAATGGTTCTGGAGGTTCTTTGAAAATAATCAAAAGTATTTTGTCACCCGTGCATCAAAGTCCATTTCACTCTCTTCTCTATTGAGGGCATTACAATGGGTACAAATCAAAATAATGGCTCAGATTTCTATTGTGTTTGTATGTGCGACAGAATTTGCTGAAAATAAAGGAATGCCTTTAATATGAGCAAATTCTGCCTAGTTAATAGTCAATGAATATGAAAAGCCACTTCTGTATTTAGTAACCCAAGAACGTTCATTACCATCATCTAGAGAATTTAATGAATCTTAAGTGAATATGGACGTTTTATTAAAAGATTGATCGCTAAATCGATCGATCTAAACGAGTCTCGCGTTGATTTCGGTTCTCGGTCTTGACTAATAGGTTGCGACTGACGATTGTAATACTGTCTGCCTGCCTCTTCTAAATAATCTTCGCACTGCGTGAAGGTGAGTCAACATGAAGTTTACTGTCAGCGTTCCTTTGCCTCGTTCAAATACAACTACTTTAAATACTGAACGAAGGTTACAAAGAGCATGTTACTATGATGATTAACTGCTAATCTAGAGTCTGTTTTTTGGAAGAAACTTGTCTTATTACTTTAGCCTGTTTTGATTTCAATTTTTAATAACCACAGTAATAAACTGATTACGGGGCATAAAAATTAGGGAGCATATATCAACCTCCTTTTTAAGGAGAGGCCTATGCCCACCAAAGGACTACCGGCGGCTGTTGATATAAACTATGGTCAAGCAAATACATAACAACAATGAAAACAATAACGAATAGTATAATGAATTCACAAATAACATTACATCTACTACACTTTGGACACCCAAGCCATGACACTATGAAATGCTGTTTTGCTGTACAAATGTTTTTTGATTCCTTCACACGTTTTTTCACACTAAAACTGCCCACGAAAGTACCTACTTACAGTCTATTTGTCGCTCCAAAGGTTGCCTGTAAGAAAATGCTTTTTAGCCATAAGGCCGCCATTTGTGCATGGTCATTAAATTGAAATACTATTTTATGTATAGTGTACTGAACTGGTGTACAATAAAGATTATTCTATTTTATTCTATTCTACGTGAGAGTTTTCATCAATAAAAACTATTGCAGATGTGACTTTAAACATAATTAATCACTATGCCAAATTTTATTTTGATCCATTCAGCAGTTTTTCCAAATATCTAAAAATGGTCTATTACCTAACCTGTTTTACTTTAACCGTTTTACTGCTAAAAATATTTATTTTGTGTAATCACATACTCGTATATTTATATTCTTGTAATAAAACATTATATTATTTACGCGGTAAAAAGTAAGACTTCAGACGTATTTTTGGACTAAAATTTATTAAGAAGAAAGAAAAGAAACAAAAAAATCCGAGTAAGATCTCTTGCACGTTTATTCGATGCGGCCATCAAAATGTCTTATTTCTTGGTATGGTTCGTTTCTAGGTTTTTATGAAAGGCGGAAAAATTATTTATTATAAAATATTATATTGAGTTTGCTCCCTTAGTCGGTTCTCTTTACGACACCCAGGGGATGAATAGGTGTGGTGACATTCCGCATTTTTAATCCAACGGCACACGGAGAGATAAATGAAGTGTTGTGCAGTGGCAGGTCATCATAGGGGAGTGAAGGGAACGACTCGGGCAACCGAGCGCCGGGTACGCCGTCATCGCGGCGGTAAGACCCGCTATGGAGGATTGGCTCGAGAGGCGTCACGGGACCCACTCGGGACCGACTGACGCAGGTGATCACTGGGAAAGGATGTTTCGGGGATCACCTGTGTCTGATCCGCAAGGAGCCAACGCCTGAGTGCCACCACTGCGATGGCCAGACCGTGGACACGGCTCTCCACACGCTGGCAGAGTGCCCGGCATGGATTGAGCAGAGGCGAGACCTCGTGGCGGCCATCGGAGTGGGAGTTCTCTCGCTCGATAGCCTGATTGCCGCTATCGTGCGGAGCGAGAGTGCGTGGAACTCTGCCGTCTCGCGGCAGAGTTCCATGTGCAGTTCTTATGCTCGCGAAGGAGACGGCGGAGCGGGACCAGGAGAGGTTTAGAATTATCCCGGCCCGCCAGGCCCGGGAACGGGCCGGGTACCGCAGGCGACTCAGGCGCCGGAGGTCGCAGAACGACCTCCGTCCTCCATAAGCGCAGGCCTGGGGGTAACAGGTGAGGCCATCTATCACCCTAGTAGAAGCAGGCCGGGGTGGCGGCGAGCGCGTTGCTAAGCGCGCTCGCTTCCAGGGAGCAGAGGGAACATGGGGTTCCCACATGGGGGAGGTCGTCTACTCGTCTGTAGATGGCCAGAGGTATGTCGGGGCACCAGGGACTTTCTAGGGTATACCTGGTTGCCCGGCTATTAGTACCCGAGACGGCGTGCGGTTTTAGTCGGTTCGAGTCCGACATGCCACCGATGGGTGGTGTCCGAAGGGATTTCCGCACGGAAAAAAAAAGGGGCATGAATAGGTGTGGTGATTCTGCATTCTTAATCTGGCGGATTAAGAATGCAGAATCACCACACCTATTCATCCCCTTTTTTCCCATTCCCCATCCCCCACGGAAAGATAAATTAACCAATGATAATTATATCAAATGATAATGATAAATGATAATATTTTAATTCAATAGAATAAATCACATAAATAAACACAATTTATGGAGAGCAAATTCTATCGCAAACATGACTCATAGTTTAGTTGTCCGTGTCCTTGCAATTCATAAATGGATTATGTTATTTTAGGGATCGGTGCAATAAAAATCAAGTAAATGTTGTTTTAATATATTTATATTAAAAACTTAAAGAAATTCATAACAATTAATGGTAATCAATAATCATTCGTTCATTCGTAACTATAAATAAACCTATAAATCTTTTCACAATCACTTTATTTGTTGTCATATATCACTATTTCGGTCATGTTTATCATTCCTTAACTTCGTTTCTATCTGGTCCACAGTCTTACCAGCAGTTTCAGGTAGAACAAATAACACTAAAATAACGCCTATGAAATTGATTCCACAGAATATGTAGAAAGACGTTTCGACGCCCAATGTATTTGTGACTGCGGTAAAGGACACTAACTGGACGAAGGTCATCGACCAGGCCGTAGCACTAAGAATTCCCATTAACTTAGCGCGGATCTGAAACATGAAACAATTTTATATCATTCCTGATCAATCATCTCAGGGTTTAGCTCTTATTCTTACACAATTAGGTGTATGTTTAATTAATATACTTACTCGAAAGTTAAACATTTCAGTCATTATAATGAAAGGCAGAGGAGAAACTCCTCCGCCATAGGAGTAGACTGTTACTAAAATTGCTACAATTGGCAACCAGCTAGGTGTAGCCCAGTCATAACCGCTTAGCAACTGATTGGTTGCAAGACTCGCCAAAGCCAGTGATGAAACAGCAAACGTAATCCCAAGTAGCACCTGTAAAGAAATAGAGCCTGTTAAAAGTTTTAGTAAGAAAATTCCTTAAAATCAAACTTTTATTTTTAAATCCCCACAACAGACTACAGGAATATTCTGACATTGCTAGGGATTTTACATACATACAGGAAACGAATATAAAGAACACCCAGACTCAGAACAACAATTTGTGGATCATAGTGCTGTCCCATGTGGGGATCGAACATACAACATTCATCGCAGTAGGAAGCGGCGTAGCGACCGCTTAAACCACTATGCCATCTGTGAAGTATCATATTACTAATTCAGAGAGTCCTCTGAATTAGTAATATGATACTGCACTAGTGTCGTCATACTAGTTTTAAATCTAAAAATAAGTATTTTTGAGTAGATGATGATGATCTATCCACGCCGTATCCGGTAATGGCAGCTCCTTCGTCTTAAGCGGGGGTTCCCCTCTTGATGGGCTCTGGTATGACTTGCGAAACCGAATAGACCGGCCACCTATCACGCATGATGAGAACGATAGCAGGTTGCCAAGCAATCTTCTATTCTGAGCTTACTAGCGAAAAGTACAGACAAGGCGGTCAGTACCTCAGATATAAAGATATTCTCAAACATTCTCTTGAACTAAAAATACTAGGTTTAAATAGGCACACAGTGAAACAAAAAGTTACAGAATGGCTCCTGACACAAGACTATTCCAGCACGGAGTTGTTACTAATGTACCTCAAATAGAAAATAATATAATATAATATTTTCACACATACACACAAGGCCGTCAGATCCCAAACTCGGCAGAGTCTGTACTATGGTAACCAGACTGCTGATAAACATACTTATATATTTCTAAATACATAAATATTATAGATAAATTACACCCAGACACAGAACTAATAACCCCGCTTATCACACAATTATTTGTCCTGCGTGGGAATCGAACCCACAATATCCTTACATTAAATTAAAATATTATAATGTTTTCTAGCACTCTGGTAGAATCTTCTGCGCCTACACATAATTTAAGTTTGTTTAGTAAAAACATGCAACTGTACATTATATTTCTAAAGACACAACTTTAACAGAATTAATATAAGATGAATCTGACAGACTGAACACTGTCTGAAGGTACAGGTAATTCACCTAGTTTAAGGGGCAGAGTTCCACATCTCAAATACAAAATTTGTAAATTCTCATCAACTGTGTATTCAAATATGTAAATCTTTTGCATAAATAAAGTATTATTATTATTATCTCGCCTGTAGCATACCAACGGATGGCTGGGAGTAGCATGCTGGTCTTAGACCTGAATGGCGAAGAACTGTTAACACGAGTGTCGAAAGTTCTAAACTACGCGTTTGAAAGATTTTTAGTTAATAAGTATTTAAAAATGAAGTATAAAAAAGCAGTAAACACATTTCAGAATATAAATATTATTTTGTATAGTTTTATACATCTAAGCATTAACCAGTGGTTCGGACAGACAAATGCACAAAAATCACATTTGACATTTGGCAACGGCATCTAAACTTGGTGTTACATCAACACATCACATCAACAGCCTTTAATTGTCCACTACTGGACATAGGCCTCTCCTTAGAAAGGAGGTTTTGGCCTACTATACCACGCTAGCCAGACGGGTTGGTATAGGGATTGTATCAAGTTTTCCTTCTTTTGCAGTGCTGGTGTCCTGCGTTGTTTTGCGCCCTTAGTCGCCTCTTACGACACCCACGGGAAGGGGGTAGTGACATTCGGTATTCTTACTCCGTCACTACACGGACAATTTGGTGTTTAGCTTTCATCAAATACTTGAAAACGGATCTTTAAAATCGGTTTAGCTGTAAGAAGCAGTTCTGCTACAAACACAAGTACAGGACAATTACACATAATAACTCTAGTAATAAATGACCGAGTATTACCTTTCTACCCAGCCTATCTACTATTGTCATAGTGGTAGCTGTTCCTAGTGTCAAGGATATAGGAATGGCCAGACTTTGCAACTCTGGACTAATTTCCATCTTAGAATTTTTGAGGACAGTCGAAGCGTAGCTAATGATGGAAAATACACCGTTCAAACCGTGCAAAATCACTAGCACAAACATGATGAGAAAACCACGACGCCATGCTTTATATTTAACTGAAAGGAAAAAAAAAAAATTATAATTGCATCGATCTCGGTCCAGTTCTAAAAAAAATCTCGTTTGTCCATCATATGCTTACAATGCCCACTTATTTATTAGGTTACACATTGCGCACACACACAATAAGATAGGCCTGATGCTGACCACTATCTTTAGACATGCCATGACTGAACCCAGAACAAAAAAAAACTTAAATATTACACCTTTTTGATTTGTACATTTTTAAACAAACAGAAAAAGAATTTAGAAAAGAATAATAAGATATTTGCTGATTCTTGAAATGTACAAGGTTGTGAATAACTGCGAGCCGGACTCAAAAGACTAATACTGTCCAAATTTAGAACATTGATCGTTGAAAATGATATTTTATTCGCAGTCGTCGGATTAACACAATAGGGTCAAATCCAATTTCTTACCGAATAGGGATACAAGATATTATTAATTTGGAATATTTGCGGGTAGGAAAAAGAAACATAAAATCTAAAAAAGGAAGGCGTGCTCTAGTGAGTCATCCCGCCTGTAACCAGGGTCATTGCAACTAGATAAAAAAGTTAGACATTCCAGGATGATGCGTATTGCTTGAGTTAATTCAATATTTAATAACTGTTACAAGTTTACAATTATCGTTGTGGTAAAAATTATGAAAACTTACAAATGCCGAAAAACGTAATGTGAGGTATTGATTTGTAATAATCATCTTCTCTTTTAATTGAATCCATTTCATTCTGTACTTCTTTATTGTCTATTTGTAAACCTCTGAGATATGCAATAGCTGCAGTAGATTCCTGTAATTTAACAATAATTGGAGCTGAACACCGACCATCACATCATAGTAATAACCACACATTAAGGCTTAAGTAAAATTTAATTCCAAATGATTTACCTTCAACTTTCCTTGATTTACTAAAAAACTCGGAGACTCAGGTACTTGGAACAACATCACGAAAATACACACAGCTATTGCCGTGACAAAATATAACACTGTGTAGTAACCAAGGTAACCTCCAATTGCATACATTGACAAGATACCCAGGCTTTGAAATAATGCGGAAATTGATCCTAAAGTGCCCCTTATGTTGTCTTGACTGATTTCCTTGACATACATAGGAACGACATGGAAACAGCCACCCGCGCCAAGACCGCAAAATATTCTGGAGACTAGAAGGCTTATTGGGTTTGATGGGCAAAGTTTTATTATCCAGCAGATCTGTTGAAAAATGAAACTAATAAATTAGTGTACACAACGAAAAATAACAAATTTTAAGAATGAACGCAAGTTAATATAATTGTTAATGAGTAGCTTTGCAAGTATAGTGAAATTAAAAAAAACGCATTGTATTTGTTACTTACTAGCTGCAAAAATGCCATGATAATGACAGCCCTCTTTCTACCATATGTTTCTACGACATACAGTAAAATAAGAATTCCAACAACGGCTGCTAACGATGGGATACCAGCTATTAGTGATAACTCAGAGTCCGTTAGAGGTCTACCCACAGGAGATTCTTCGGATTGCAATATTTTTGTCATCGGTGATACCCAACCACATTGCAGACCGTATGTGAGGACTGTTGAATTGACTGTAAAATGAGCAAAAATATATTGATTTATACAGTGGAAAGTTAATTTTTTTAAATAATGTATTTTCAGCAAATCAAAGTCAATAATGGTTACTCCACTTATATTACAATACCGTACTGTACATCGCTAATTAGAACTATATTTTTTTCTTGGCCTTAAAAATCCATTTAATATCTTTTACCATTTCTTAAATCATTTTATTTGGTCACGACAATCATACGGACTTTAACTGAATTCTAAGAATTATGCCTTTTAAATTAATGTAGCTTAGCTTTCTGAACTAGATGCTTTTTAAAAGACCAGACATTATTATTATGCAAGTCTGTGGACTACGTTAGCTATAGTCTTTGATTCTCATGTACCTTGTTTATAATTTCATCGAATATAAGTACAAAATCACATTTCAATACTCGTCCAGCTTTATCAAGCTTTATAACAAGAAAAAGTAACTGAGAAAATAATGAAGATGAATCAGATTGAATTATTTAAATACCTAAAATTGCTACCGCCCATTGTGTTCGCGTATGTCCTTTTGGTGCCGATTTTTCACTGTTATTTTGCATATTACTTATTTAATTCTTCAACTGAAACACAACACAACTATTTGAACATTACACTATTTTAAATAACAACTAAATAGAATATACTGAAATTACAATAATTAAACTAACAATGTGTTCCAATATACCTGAACAGAAAACACTGATATGAGCATCTTTTGTTATATACCCGTTTATAGTTTTAAATTAAGGATGTGTTGACATGTATTTTATTTTAACAGATATGAAATATCTTGTCTATATTTAAAAATGTTTGTTTTATGAATACAAATAAAAATATGTTTAAACAAAATAATAATAATAATAATAAATCTTTATTTCGGAATAGTTTCCATATAATGTTTATGATATTTCTTTATTTTGGTTACATTACTTATGTAGCTATCTGTAACCATTTTTTAAACATGGAACTGTTACATACCCTGCAGCAAGTTCCTTAATTATAGTGTTCCTACACGAACCAACCCGGGCCATAAACGCCGCGATTCGGCTTCTTTGGATGGCATTAAACGTGTTCAGTCTTGCCTCTACAAACATTGTGGAGGCGCTACAGAAAGGTGCTAACCCCATAAGGTGCCTATAGATATTATTGTACTGAACACGAATGCCATCCAAAGACCTCTTCGTATATGCAGTCCAGAGTTGACACGTGTAGAAATTCTGACAGTATGCTCTGAACAGGTGCACTTTAGTCTGTACATTGGCATTAAAAAATCTCCTGGCAATCATATTGCCAACGACTGAGAGTGCTCGACGCTGTCGATCGATATCAGCGTCATCTCTCATGTCTGACGTGAGTATGTGACCAAGGTACTTGAACCTCCCCACCATGTTAACTATCTGTCCTCCTAACCACACCGGAGGCACGTTCTGAGGACCTCTTCCCGACCTGAATACCATCATTTCAGTCTTTTTTGCATTGTATACTAACTCATGCTCTGTAGCATATCTCTCACATATAGCTAGCAGTCTTCTTAAGCCCTTGATCGAGGGGCTGAGCAGGACCATATCATCAGCATAACTTAAGTTGTTGACGTATCTGTCACCAAGTTTGAGCCCTACCGGAGTCCTGCTCAGCTCCCCTATCAGGTCATTGATGTAGAGGTTAAACAGGTCAGGAGAAGTCAACCCCCCCTGTCTAACACCACATGATAGCTTGTAGCTGTCCGACATATCTGTCCCCCACCTGACACTTGAAAATGTTCACGCCTTTGATCAATGATGATTTTGATCAATGTGTCCACAATTAATTTCATGGCGGTGTTTCTGAGTGTTTAGGAAGTGTTAATTGTAAAGTGTTAATTTAAAATTTCAATCACTTTTTTTAATCTGTTGATCTATTTATTTATTAACAATAGCATAATAATTATTTAAAATATCGCATTTTGGACAGTAATAAAAATAAAATTTTCAAGAATAATAGATAGCAATTTATAATGTTATGTACTTTACTTTTACTTATATGCTTTCGAATATTGAAATAGATAAAAATTAATAAATTTATATAATTTTACGTTTGAGTGGTTTTGTATTTCGAAAATTGCATTTTTTTTCATTGAATGAATATTGTACAACCCTAACACGAGAACGGCACTCCCAATATAGTAACTAAATATTATACTTTGACGTAAGCAACTTTCCAAATTAAACCATTTGTAAATGAACGTCTGACTCTAATACAATTATTTGATTTGGAGTCTTATCATATTTGTAATAAGATTATAGTTCACCTGATATAGCTACCACTATTTGATTATTACATAAATAATGTGGTACATCGTAGTAACTGTTGCTTTGCCGTCACGATTTTGAAACAATGGTAATAAGGTGATATTTGTATTTTTCCCATATTCTCGGGCGTAAATTATGTATAGAGAGCTATAACTATGATAACACTACACAATATAATCTTGCTGTTATAACACATTAGTCACATAATAATATTTGCAGAGATATATGCAAAAAATCTATTTACGGACTTGCGCTTTGTAGAGTGGAAGGCCGTGGTGGGCCGGAGTGAAATACTGACTCGATCTATTCAGCACACCGAGCTTTATCTTCTTCTTTCAGACTTGCCTGCCTAAAGCCAATCATTCTTCTGACAAAAGAAGAAGGTAAATTTATTTAAGAATAACGGATGGGGCGAAGAAGCTAGGGTAAGGGATACCGCGAGTCTCGGCTGGGTTACCTAGCAGTGCAGTCTAACGCCTTTACCACTCGACTGCCAATGATTACGAACAATTCACTAGTTAGCCTTTTTTTTTGTCGACGGGGTGGCCGCCCGACTCCAAGGAGGACCCTGACCATGTTATTTTAGGTCCCCCCCGAATCAACGCCGCGCCTATTCCGGGGAAGCTGCGGGCTTCCCAAGCCTATCGGCCCAATCCTTATAATATGTTGCGGCCCGATCTGATTTTTGCGACCAGGCTGCCATCCTATCGTCTACCGCCATATTTAATCTGCCAACAGAGGTCCCCTCCCTCTGGCAACCTGCGGCCCGCCGCCGCGTATCGCCGCCGACGTCCTCTACGCTCGGGATCGGCCCTCTTCCGATCCCGTTCAGAGGTCTCTTCCTGGAGCATTACAGCTTCACAGAAAGAGATCACTGCGCCCCAGCTCTCTCGCTAATCAGCTCAAAAAAATAGTTTTAAATTTTGTTAAGTAAAATTTTAAGTAAAATTTCATAATTCTATGGTATGCGTTTTTCTCAATTTGTGATTTTGTACACTTTTACTCATTTTCAGAGCTCTAACTAAAAGTTCGATTTTAAAGTACACTTCGGCCCCTTCCCATGGTACGTCAGAGTTTTTTTAGGAATATTCGTTTGTCAAAATATGTAAAAAAATACTCTTAATATACTTTTTTTCAGCCATGGTATACAAATCATGGTATGAAAAACACATCGTTTCTCGTAAAGTTTGAAGTTTTGCGTTATCATTGAGCAATATTGATCAAGATCGATTCACGAGTCGTTGGTTTTACTATATACTACGTATTTGACTCAGATCGGCTTTCACCGTCTCCTTCAATTCAGCGTTATTTCCCTGTGTGGGCACTTTTCTACGTGGTTTGTTCTTCATGTCGAAGTTTCCATTACGAAAGTGTTTAAACCAAAGACGCACGGTGCGTCCATTAGAAGTCTCCTCTCCAAACGCAGCATTGATGCTGCGAGCCGTCCTGACACATTAGTTCCAAGTCGGAATTCAGAATGACTCAGATTTTCGAAGTTTCCATCTTTCACGTCTAAGCTGAATAAAAAAAACAATTAAAAGTCGAAAACCGAATGTTGCTCATTTTTTAAAAGAAGAGCCTCATAGGTATTATGTGAAAAAGTTTCACACGAAAATCTTACACAATAAAAGTTTTATGTCACTTCAAAGTATGGATTATTATACGATGGCAATTTCATACTTTAAACCCTATTACTTTCACTTCAAATGCAACAATGTAAACATCTTTATGTAACAACATGTTATTGTATTTTTTTATTGGGATTGAAATAAATATTTTTATAATTATCACATCATCAGCAGCTTTTAATAGTCGACTGCTGGATATCCATAGATAGAGGCCTATCTCTCCTTAGAAAGGAGGTTTTGACCTATTATACCACGCTGGCGAGTAGGATTAGTATAGGGTTTTGTCAAGTTTTCCTTCTCTTTGCAGTGCTGTTGTCCTGGATAGTTTGCTCCCTTAGTCGGCTTTTACGACACCCGCGGAATAAATAGGGGTGGTGATATTCCGTAATCTTAATCCGTCACCACACAGAAGATTTATTAATTTGTTGAATATTTTATGTATCACTAACTGACCTGCGTCTCTTAAAAGGAGTGAATTTGCCCCGATTTCTCAATTTTTTTATTTCTCTCGGCTCCTTCTGGTCATAGCGTGACTTGATGTAGCCCATAGCGATTTTCCACCAAATTTTTTTTTCAATTGGAACCAGTAGTTCCTGAAAATAGTGCGTTCAAACAAACAAACTCTTCAGCTTTATAATATTGTATATTTATATAAATTTCGATTTTGTATATTAAATAAGCTTAGTTCAAATTGCGGATGTTCCTGCGCTGCTCAAGATGTAGCACCATATCAGCTCATACTTATTGACCTACTCTCCTTTCCAAAATATTTTCAATTTAACTCATAAAGTGCTGGGCTAGTGATAATGTCACTGTCAATGGCTTTAATAAACAAAAAGACAATATATTCAGTAAAAAGGCTTTTAACGTGTTTTTAATTTTCTTTTATACGATGTGCTTAATCTAAATACCTTAATTGTAAATTATATAACTATTATACTCACACACATGAGTTTGATTCCAAACTAGGCAGAACCTATGCTATCGTAACCAGTTTACTGGATATATATTTCCAAATATATACCTATAGATTACGCCAAGACCCACTTCAAATAATCGTGCTCATCTCACACAATTCTCAACATCTCAAAATAATTAGTCCTGAGTGGAATTTGAACCCTCGCCTTCTAGCTTAGCATCATCATTATCATTACCATCAACAGTCTTAGTCCAGTTAATAGTCCACTGTTGGTTTAATAGTCCACGGTCCTTAGTAAGTCTAGTAGATGTTTTGTCCTGTAGTAGATAGAAACCTCTACTAAACCAAGAGTCCAATCAAATAACAAGCTTAGGGAGCTCAAATATTATACGACAAATATATTACAGATCATCACACTTCACTGTTGATATGTGTGGTGACACACGTCATCACAGATATGGTCATTGCACGTTTAGTTTCAAAGCATGGCATAGATTCTGTAGAAGTTTAATTATTTCTAGTGTTTTTGAATTTCATCATCATCATCATCAAGAGCCTCTAATAGTGCACTACTGGGTTCTCATTGCAGTCATCGGGGGGGGGGCCTTCATACGCTCCATGGCCTGTAGTGACAGATGTTTTACCGCGGTCGCATCCTTCTGCGAAGACGTCATCTCGCAGAAGAAGGCGGCGGAGAGGGCATCTTTGTTTTTTTTTTTTCTCCCCTCAACCGCATAACGGCCAACCTAAATAGATAATGTACCCGAAGGTGGTGCACGCGCCGTTGCGGACAGGCGCTGGGAGGGGTCCGGATCTCTTAATAACAGCAGTTCCCGGATCCCTCCTATCATAGGTGCAGAGGGGCACACCGTGTGGTTTTAGTCGGTCAGATTCCGACATACCACCCAGCCGCAAACCCCGGTGGGGTGACGGCCCGAGGGGGTTTCCACACGTAAAATAAAAAGGGTTTGCTATAAGTTTTACTTCCCTCTGCAGCGGTGTTGTCCTGCGTAGCTTGTTACGTTACTCAGCTCTTACGACACCTACAGGATGGATGGGGGTAGTGACACTCCATATTCTTAATCCGTCACCAGACAGACTTCATTCCCCTTATGTAATGAAATTGAAGTTATTTTGGTTAACAAATAGAGATATTAAGTAATATATTCGACGATATGCTCTTACGATGATATAAACCATGGGGCTTCATATTTTGCTCTGTGACCTATAGTCTGACCCATTTTCCGTTTCGTTGCCTGCAATACCTAAATATGGATTACGTTGTTTTAGAAATGCGTGCAAGAAAAAATTAAGTCTGTGTTATTATTTTACATTTTTAATAAAAACTTAAATAAGACATAATTTAAAACAGTCCTTCAAACTTTTTACACATTCATACATGAGTAACTCAACTCAAAATATCTTAATTTCATTAAAAAATAAAATTATTTTCATTACACACAGTAGCAACAATATCTGTATTGTCAAATATTTAGCAAACTAAATATATAGTCTTTTATAAGTCTTTTTACAATCACTTTGTCAGTTGTCAGATAACACTATTCTTGTCATTTTTCTCAAGTTTCAAGTTATGCTCGCGAAGGAGACGGCGGAGCGGGACCGGAAGAGGTTTAGAACCGCCCGGCCCGCCAGGCCCGGGAACGGGCCAGGTACCGCAGGCGACTCAGGCGCCGGAGGTCGCAGAACGACCACAGCAGAATCACCACACCTATTCATCCCCTTTTTCCCATTCCCCATCCCCATCGGAGAGATAAATTAAATAAATGATAATTATATCAAATGATAATGATAAATGATAATATTTTAATTCAATAGAATAAGTCACATAAATACACAATTTATAGAGATCAAATTCTATTGCAAACATGACTCATAGTGTAATTGTCCGTGTCCTTGCAATTCATAAATGGATTATGTTATTTTAGGGATCGGTGCAATAAAAATCAAGTAAATGTTGTTTTAATATATTTATATTAAAAACTTAAAGAAATTCATAATATATTATTATTATTCGTTCATTCGTAACTATAAATAAACCTATAAATCACTTGACAGTCACTTTATTTGTTGTCATATATCACTATTTCGGTCATGTTTATCATTCCTTAGTTTTGTTTCTATCTGTTCCACAGTCCTACCAGCAGTTTCTGGTAGAATAAATAGCGCCACAATAGCTCCTATGAGGTTGATTGCACAGAACATATAGAAAGACATTTCGACGCCCAATGCATTTGAGACTGCGGTGAAGGACACTAACTCGACAAAGGTCATCAACCAGGCTGATGCAACAAGAACTCCTATTAACTTAGCTCGGATCTGTAACATAGTAACAATTTTAGAATTAATCCCGATCAATAATAATCTCTCTAAGTGTTCTATGAAACTTATATCTTTTCCTTACAAAAGGTGTATATTTAATTTATATACTTACTTGAAAGTTAAACATTTCAGTCATTATAATAAAAGGCAGAGGAGAAACTCCTCCGCCATAAACGCACACTGCTAATAAAATTACTACGATCGGCAACCAGTTAGGTGTAGCCCAGCCACAATCGCTTAGCAACTGATTTGTCGCAAGAGTTGCAAAGGCCAATGATGATACAGCAAATGCAATCCCTAGTAGCACCTGTAAGGAAAAGTTTTATTTAGAAGATTCCTTAGAATCAAATAAATCAATTAAGTTATTAATTTATTAATCAAGAGGACAGCATTAACAGCCTTTAATAGTCCAATGTTGGACATAGGCCTCAGATTAGAAAGGTGGTTTTGGCCTACTATACCTAGCTGGGCAGAGGGGTTAGTAAAGGGTTTGTTTCAAGTTCTCAATCTCTTTGCAGTACTGTTGTCCTGCATAGCTTGCTCCCTTAGTCGGCTCTTACGACACCCACGGGATGAATAGGGGTGGTGACACTCTGTATTTTTAATCCGTTACCACACAGATAAGAGGACACCAATAATTTTAAATTGACACTAAATATTTAAAAAAAAATTAAAATAGGAAGTTTACATTAGTAGTAGACAACTTTCAGGTTATATTTATAAGCTTAGACATTATTCTGTTGTTTTTTTTTTACATATAATCGTTAACGAGTGGACCAGAAAGTTAAATACACAAAAAAAAAACTTGTCAGCGACATCTGCCAGGTTCAGATTTCATGAAATACTTAAACACAATACATCTTGAAAAGCGGTTCAACTGTTAAGAAGCAGATCAGTTACAAACATACGCACAAAAAACTGAATACACAATATTAACTCTAGTAAGTGAGGGAGTATTACCTTTCTTCCCAACCTATCTACTATTGTCATAGTGATAACTATTCCGACTGTCAAAAATATAGGAATGGCAAGACTTTGCAGCTCTGGACTGATCTCCATCTTGGAACTTTTGAGAACAGTTGAAGCGTAGCTAATGATAGACAATACACCGTTGGCACCGTGTGCAACCACTAATATGAACATGATGAGAAAACCACGACGCCATGCTTGATGTTTGACTGAAAGTAAAAATTTCATTAAACATTTCATTTTTTTATCTTAAGGAAGGAATTTAAGGGAAGATAAATTGAAAATAATTAAGAAAGAAATGATGAGATGGTTAGGAATTCTATAAAATATACAGGGCCCTGAATAAGTGCAGGCAGACTCGGAAAGACTGATACTGTCCAAATTACCAATACACTATCAAAGGGTCAGGTTTAACACAACCGTAACAAGCGCACGTGTATAGAAGGTCTAATGAATTTAAAAAATACGAAAGCTAGATGTCAGCCAGAGATATTTTATTATGTCTGCTTACCTCGGACTGAAGTTGGTCGTACGGTATATCTATTTTGAAAAAAGTTGTAGATTATCGTGACTTATAACAATTCAAAACCTTAGTAATCGTGCTGATACGTTCTGATAATATCGTTATAAAAGTATTCAATCCAAAGGTAACGCAACTGATAGGTTATTTGCCTGATGATAACCGCACATGCTACTTTGCTATTATGTACAGTAAAATAAACACCAGTGTAGAGACAGTTTTGATATTGTATGAAAATGCGCGGATAGGTGAAAAATTCTAGACCTCTTGGATTCAGCGACAAAAAGTTTGCTCGATTGAGCTAGAGCAACCAGATCAAAACTTTAAGCATTCAATGGTATATATATACCTATTCAGCGCGACGCGATCAAAGTTTTTTTTTAAATTGGGAACGCAAAAAGATTGTTACGGTAGTAATTATAAAGTTTAGGACTCACAAATGCCGAAGAACGTAATGTCAGGTATGGATTTGTAATAGTCATCCTCTCTTTTTATCGAATCAATTTCATTCTGTACTTCTTTGTCGTCTATTTGTAAACCTCTGAGATATGCAATAGCTGCAAAAGATTCCTGTAATTTAACAATAATTATAGCAAAACATCATCGTAGCAAGTCTAGATTAAAACAAAAATAGAAGTGAATCCTCAATATTCCTTACCTTTAATTTGCCTTCATTTACTAAAAAACTTGGCGACTCAGGTATTTGGAACAACATCACGAAAATGCACACACCTATTGCCGTGACAAGATATAACACTGTGTAGTAACCAAGGTAGCCACCTATTGCATACATTGTCAGGATACCGACGTTTTGAAATAGTATAAAAATTGATCCTAAAGTGCCTCTTATGTTGTCTTGACTGATCTCCTTGATATACATGGGCACGATATTGAAACAACCACCAGCGCCAAGACCGCAAAATATTCTGGAGACTAGAAGGCTATATAGTTTTGACGGGCAAAGCTTTATTATCCAGCAGATCTGTTGGGAAATTTAAATAATAATTAGTGAACATACCCAAAAATTATAAGGTTAAAAGTTACAACACAAATAATTACAATTCTTTTTGAGTAAGTATAGGTGAAATTAAGAAAAAAGTATTTTATTTGGTACTTACTAACTGGAAAAGAGCCATGGTAATAACAGCCCTCTTTCTACCATATGTTTCTACGACATACAATAAGATAGGAATGCCAACAATGGCTGCTAACGATGGGATACCAGCTATTAGAGATATCTCAGAGTCCGTTAGAGGTCTACCCACAGGAGATTCTTCAGATTGCAATATTTTTGTCATTGGTGATACCCAACCACATTGCAGGCCGTATGTGAGGGCTGTTGAATTGGCTGTAAAATGAGGAAAATTGTTCTTAATTTAAATACTGAAAAGTTAATTTAATAAAATACTAAGAAATTACGTAGGTTGTATATCAACAACCTTTAATAGTTCACTGCTGGACATAGGCCTCTCCTTAGAAAGGAGGTTTTGGCCTTCTATACCACGCTGGCCAGACGTTTTGGTATAGGGTTTGTGTCAAGTTTTTCTTCTCTCTGCAGTGCTGTTGTCCTGCGTAGTTTGCTCCCTTAGTCGCCTCTTACGACACCCACTTGATGAATAGGGGTGGTGACACTCTGTATTCTTAGTCCGTCACCACACGGATTAGGATTAGGTTGTTTAAAGAAAAGATAATAAGTCCCCCGATAAGCCCCCGCGACACAGGAATATATTCCTAACACGGGGTTGTCCTTTTTAATGCATCTAATACATTATACAATTATTAGTAGCTCCACTAACTACTCCTACAGTAAAAGACATTAGTGGTAGACATCAGTCTACCACTAATGTCTTTGACTGTTTGTAAAACCATTCTGATAACTCACTACAAAATTATGCCAATCATGGGTTTAAAATTGTAATTAATTGAATTGATGATTTTCAAAACAGACGAGACATATACAAGTTTGAAGGATATGATAGTCTTTGGTTCCATCTAGAGTTGTGCAATGATGCTCCTGCTGACAGATATACCTGATCAACCATAGTTATGTTGATGTACTATGTTATCGAATTAAAGTAGGTACAGAATCAGACTTAAGTAAAAAAGAAAGAGGAGACATGTTACAAGAATAATATAGAAAAGGCATAGGTGTTCTACAGCAGATGAATCAAAAATCAGTTATTAAAATTATCAAATATCTACCTAAAATGGCTACTGCCCATTGTTTTCGTGTATGCCCTTTTGCCTTCAACTTTTTACAGTTATTTTGCATATTATTTCTTAAATTACACATTTAATTTAAAACGTAACACACAAAGTAATATAAATTAACATTCAGAACACACTAAAATTACAATTAATTGATTAAGGCACTTCAACGTTCCACCATTCCTGAATAGAAAGAAAACACTGAGATACAGAGTTACGAATCTTTTGTTATATACCAGTGTATAGTTTTAAATTAAGAATGTGTCCATATATGTGTTTGACTTTAGCAGATATGAATATCTGTTCTATATGTCTAAATGTTTGTCTTATATATACAAATAAAAATGTTTTTAAACATAATGCTGACACGTACTGATAAATCTGTCTTTCTTTTTATTCTTTTGCTTTTTTTATTAGTAAGTACAGAAATTATTAATGATGTTTTTTATGGACTTAGAGTAAATTTACATTTTACTTCTATTCATTTTTATTTTACGTTTAGAACAGTAATTAAAGTAAAAGAATAGATAGCAATTAAAAAAATTACTCAAATATAACAAGGGTTATTTAACGTTTATGAGATTATTTAAATAAAAATATTGAAATTACATCCAGTTAAACAATATTCTACAACTGTTTTTTTCGTGCGGAAATCCCCTCGGGTACCAACGATTCTGCTAGGGTGACAGATGAGCTCCAAGCTCCAAGCTTGCACTTATGGAGATCGGAGGTCGCTCCTTCGCAAGCATAACTTGTTCACAGATGGAGGTGACAGAGTTCCACGCGCCGTCCTTCCATACCATGGCTGCACTCAGACCGAGCGAGTATTTTCACTCCGATGGCCGTCGCGAGGACATGCCTTTGCTCCACACATGCCGGGCATACTGCCCGCGTGTATACAGCCCAAATACGAGAACAGCACTCCCAATTCATTATCCAAATATTATATTTTGACGTCAGCAACTTTTCTAAATAATAAAACTATTTGTAAATAAATGTCAAATAATTGTATAAGAATACAATTATTTGTTTTGCAATCTTATCATACTTGCAATAAGATTATAGTTCACTTAATTTATCTATCATTATTTGATTGTTACATAAAACACACGCTGTAGTAACAGTAGCTTTGAAGTCATGATTATGAAACATGTACACCTGTAACTATAGAGTCACAAGTGCTTTAATACCTTTTGGATGCCTGAACGCGAAGTCCTGGTCGACCAAATCGGACGAGACCTGTCCCCGCTGGCAAGTGGTTTTTAGTGGAAACACCACATACTCTTGGCTCTTCTTCTCCCTAGAGCTGGAGATCCGAAGGGATTTTTACCCAGACAACAAAAAAAAGTGTCCTTAGACGATGATAGTCATACAGAAATACTCATCGTATATAAAATTTCAGTTTTTTTATATTTTCATAGTTTGCGTTTAAGGCTGATTAAACTTTAACTCCAGCCATTTTATGGCTTTTAAATTGACAAATAACAATTTGAAGTCACCACAATACATCCAATTTATTTAATATTCAGTTTGGGAAAGTTTGCAATTATTTTAATAGCTAATAATCTGAACTAAAACTACAACCGCATAACTGCAATGCGACAATATTGCGAGCTATCGAATCCTTCGTAACTTTGTCTGAAAGCGATTAAAATTTATTGAAAAACTTTTGTTTAATGCTCATGTTCGTGTCATATTAAAGGAAACCAACACTTTAGTGATGTATAAAGAAATCCTAACTTTTAAATATTGTACTATAAGATCTTATGTATATTGTACTATTGTATTGTATATTGTACTATTATCTCCATGAGTTTGTTTGCCCCGTCTTCTCATAAGGCTCAATCTCTTGGAAACGGGGGGTTGTAGATTGGCACAGGCATATCATAGATTTTGTATGGATTTGATTGTTGTTAAATTTATTTGTTTACTATCTGACAAAACAAAGATAGTTGCTTTTGTGTGTGTGACTTTAGAGTCTACATAAAAGACGATTTCAAACAATTTGATTTTTTTTATAAAATAAAGGGAGTTTGAGTTTGAGCCTATATTCTAAAAATAGTTGAAGAAATCTATTGACTTTAAGTGTTTCTAAATTCTTCCTTTAGATGTCTATGTGGTTCCAAATTATTTCTCGAAAATTTGGCTACTGTAGCGAAATACTCAAAATTGTTGAACCTTGCATATGTAGCTCCGTAAAATCAAGCTCGGTCAACTCAAATCTGAAATGATCTTTCATTTAAAGAACATCCTATCTGCATGGACCATTCACGTTTTCGGTTAATGTAGACTTGGATACTAACCGATACCGGGAAATCGTTGGATGCGGGCTTCACAAGACTGGTTGATGTCTTTCCACTGTGAAGAAGAAGAACAATTGGATAATTAAGTGTTTTTTTACATTCCTTCTTGGGTCTCATCATAGGAAGTGCTGGCAACAAAACTAATCGCTTTAAAAAGTATGTTAAAAATTAATTTATTTTTTACTTTGACTCCAAAGTAAATACAATCGAAATGTATAATGTAATAATGTACATAGACAAGGAGGCAAACTATTCCATAAATTTATTGAGTCCTATGTTTATTTAATTTAATTTTGTTTGTTTAATATGCTTTCTCTTTTAACTACTTAAATAATGACCATGAAATATTTCAGGGAAAAGGGATTATCTCGAGGAGTAGAGAAATACATAAATGGCAATTGAGACTTTACTGTTGAGTTCAGTGAGCAGTAAGTGGTTTCAAAACTATTTTTTGCCCACTCAACTCACGGGACACACGTTTATATGTAAGCATTTATTTAACAACTCTGTATAGAGTTTCTTCACTATAGTATAATTTAAATTTATCACACTTACATAAGTAATATGTAATATGTAAATTGTGATGTCTACTCACAGTAGAAGGCCTCATTTTATGATGATATCGCGAGTATTACCATAAAGCTAAAGTCTAAAGGGCTTTATAATAATTTTGGGAAATATGCAGCAATATGAGTTATTGAGTGGGTAATGTTAGCCTCTAAATATTTGCAAGCATGACAACCCTATTTAAGCAGTACATTTTGTGAATTTAATCTACCAACGGCAGTTTAATTAATGTTGCTATCGTTGAAATAATGGTTTGGATGGTGGACATGCATATTACATTATGTAGGTATCCGACTGCATCGTAAGTGATACGAACGTACTTTATTAATCCATAGTTAACTTGATTCTTATATTAATTTTAATCTGAATAAATCCTGGAGAAATGAACTTATTGTTAATTAGATTTTAGAGGCCTGAGCAACATTTATAACTGATTGTTTAATAAATAAGGACATTTGGATTTGAATTATATCATGGGATAAAGTATGAAATTGCTGATTTGTACTGAAAAATTGAAACTCCTTTTTTCTAAGATGTAACATTTATTTATTAAAATATTTACCTTCATTATCTATACATTGCAGCCATCTAAACAGAAGTTCATTTATGCCTTTACGGTAGAACTCTGGGGGTCTAGATTCGACAAACTGTGTGAAAGCATTGTTTACTGCCTCCTGGGAAGATTTTTTTATTCATCACTTAGAAAATTGTCCAAATTGTAAATGACGTGTGGTTTCTAACTGCGGCTCCTGTAGAGTAACAACGGTTCTCGTACAGTGTGAGGTCCTGCGTTATCATTGAGCAATAATGGTGAAGATTGATTCACGAGTCGGGGCTATTTCACTGCTAGTTTCGCCATCATTGTTCGAAGTTCGGCACATTAAACATCTGCTGTTATTGCCTGATCAGACCTGAGAAAGCTATAGTGAATAAGACCAAACAGTTATCATTACCTTTTTATTGGTTAGTATTGGCATTTTTCGCTTACGGTTATCGTAAAGAAACTACTTTTTGTCACATATCATAATTCAATCCAATATTCCTTAATTTCTGTACTGGTTCAACAAGGCAACAAAAGTTCCAACACACATTTCATTCTGCAGATCAGCCAAATCATGAGGCACACATTTTTTTATCTTATTTATTTGTTGCAAATGAGTCAATATTGTAGGTATGGTATATAACGTTACACCATGCGCTAGTTCCTGGGTAGTTTGACTCGGATCGGCTGCCACCATCTCCTTCAATTCAGCGTTATTTACCTGTATGGGCGGTCTTTCACGTGGTTCATCCTTCAAGTCAGAGTTTCCAATACGAAGGCATTTAAATCAAAAAACGCACGATACGTTAATTACTCTTCTTTCCAAACGCAGCGTTGATATTGCGAGCCGTTTCTGCCCCGTTAGTTCTACGTCGGAACTCGTATTCAATAATGACTCGGATTTTCGAAGTATTCATCTTTCACGTCTAAGCTGAATAAAAAAAAAACAATTGAAAGTCGTAAATCAATGTTTCAAATCAATTTTAAAAGAAGGGTAAAAAAAGTTTCACATGAAAATCTCACACAATGAAGATTTTATGTACATTCAAAGTATCTATTACTATAGAACGGCAATTTCATACTTTGACCCCTATTACTAGCAGGTTTAAACGTTACTTGGTAGGGATATAAATTGTCTTCGTTAAAAGATTACAATACTTCTAAATAAGTGCTAAAGAATGATGATGATGATGAAGATGTCATCGTCATCGTCAATACCTAAGCACTTAGGATTTGTCAATAATCGAGTGGAGATAACCGCACACTTATACGCACCATACGTAGGCAACAGTAACGTTATTTTATGTCATCATAGCGGTCGACACATAAAATAGGTCTTTGTTAACATAACATATTTGGCATGATAGTGACGGATTAACAATACGGAAATCACCACCCCTATTCATCCCGTGGGTGTCGTAAGAGCCGACTAAGGGAGAAACTACACAGGACAACAGCCATGAAAAAATAGGAAAACTTGAAACAAACCCTATACCAACCCGTCTGGCCGTAGTAAAGTAGGCCAAAACCTCCTTTCTAAGGAGAGGCCCAAGTCATGCAGTGGACTATTATAGGCTGTTGATGTGATGTGATTGGGCATTAGCTTAAATTATATATTTAACTTATTTCATTTCTCATCTTTATGGTGTTCTT